AAAAACCTAGAAGAAATGGATGAATTTCTAGATTCAGCCAAATCACCAAAATTAAATAAAGAATTCAACAACATAAAGAGACCTATATCAAATTAGGGGATTGAAATAGTAATAAATATCCTTCCAGTTAAGAGAAGTTCAGGGCCAGACCGAAGCACAGCAGAATTCTACCACTTTCAAAAAAGACCTATAGCCAATCCTTAAACTATTCAAGAAAAAAAAAAGGAAGAAGGAAAGAAAAGAGGAGGAGGAGTACTCCCAATCCAAACCCTTCGATCACTCTAACACCAGAACCAGGTAAAGACTCAACAAAGAAAAATACAGGCCAATATAGCTGATGAACATAGATGCTAAAAAGCTCGATAAAATACTTGTAAAAAGAATACAGACATATATAAAAAAGACCATACACCATGACCAACTTGGCTTCCCCTGAAATATAGGACAGTTCAGCATACCCAGTGAGCACATGAGTTCAGCATACCCAGTGAGCACATGCAACAAACCACACAAGTTGACTTCAAAGACAAAATCACATGATCACCTCAGCAGATGCAGAAAAGGCTTGACAAAATCCAACATACCTTCATTACAGAAGTCTGTAGCTGAAGTTTTCCCGTGTCCCGGAAGTCCTAGAGAATGTAGGACTAGAGGTAATATACCTCAACACAAAAGCTATATATGAGAAACCCACAGCAACATCATCTTAAATGGAGAAAAGCTTGAAGCAATCTCACTGAAGTTAGAAATGGGACAGGGCTGTCCACTATCTCCACTTCTTTTCAATATTTGCTCAAAGTACTGGCTGGAACAAAAAGGGAACAAACAGAAGGAATCCAAAGGGATACAAGTGGGGAAAGAAGTCAAACTATCCCTATTTGCAGATGAACTAACACTATACCTCCAAGATCCCCAACATTCTACCAGAAAACTTCTAGAAACAAAAACAAATTCAGCAATGTGAGAGGATACAGAATCAACTTACATACTTTTTCTATACACCAACAACAAACACGCATAGAAATCATGGACACATTCCCATTCACAATAGCCTCAAAGAAATTAAAATATCTAGGAATTAACCTAACTAAGGAAATGAAGAACCTCTACAATGAACACTTTAAACCTCTGAAGAAAGAGATAAAGACACTAGAAAATGAAAAGACATCCCTTACCCCTTGCTCATGAATTTGAATTAATGTTATAAAAATGACCATTTTACCAAAAACTATTTACAGATTCAATGCAATCCCAATAAAAATTCCCATTGCATTATTTACAGAAATAAGAGAAATCCTACAATTCATATGAAACTACAAAAGACCTCAGCCAAAATAATCCACAGCACAAAAACAATGCTGGAGGGATTAATAGTTTAGATTTGAAGATACATTGCAGAGCCATAGTAATAAAAATACGGTACTTGCACAAAAACCGACCAATGGAACAAAATTGAAGACCCAAAAGTGAGTATATGTAACTTCAGTCATATAATTGACAAAGATGCCAAAACCTTAGACTTGAGAAAAGAAAGCATCTTCAACAAATGGTGCTGGAAAAACTAATGTCCACGTGCAGAAGAATGAATTAGACCCTTATCTATAACCGTGCATGAAAACTAACTCCACATGGGTCAAGGACTGAAATGTGAATCTGGAAACATCAAAACTGCTGGAAAAAAACATACGCAGTCCCCTCATGACACAGGCGCAGGGAAGGACTTTCTGAGCAAGACTCCATCTGCCCAAGAATCAAGGCCAAAACTGACAAGTGGGACTTCATATAATTAAAAAGCTTCTGTTCAGCTAAAGAAACAATCAACAGAGGAAGCCTGCAGAATGGGAGAGAATCTTTGCCACTTATATATCTAACAGAGGATTAATATCCATTAATATATAAAGAACTCAAAAAAAGGAGTTAAAAAACAAAACAAATGACCAGTTCAAAAAATGGGACTGGGATCTGAACAGAGTTCTCAAATGAAGGGGGGAAAAAAAGAAAAAAGAAAAGTTCATAGTCCCTAGCAGGGACAGGAGAACCCTGCTCTGATGCTTCTGGCCCCCAGGGAGGGCCACTGTGAAAAAGGATGTTGTTTCCTGAGAGTAATGCCTAATTATGTTTTCAAATTGCCCCTCCCCCACACTGTGCAATGCTAGTTCTTTCCATGACACTGGATTTAATTAGTCCTGTATAAAAATGCAAGAACTTAGTTTAATAATAAGGGGTGGAAAGCACAAAACAAAAATGGCTGTTTGTCTTGGTGAATGTTAAGTAGATAGCCCCAAGTCAGCTTGAACCATGACACTGAAGGATGAGTGTTCTGCTCCATCAGACACAATATAGACCCAGTCTCCGCAGTGAGCATCAGACAGGATACCCACAGGTGGACATTCAAGACACAGAGCCAGGTTATGACCTTCACACAACAACTGTAGATTTTTGAGATTATTATTTCAAGTCTCTGAGCTTTTGTTAAAAATTGGGTTCATCATGTTTCCCAATGAATTACTCTCTACTGAGCAATGACTGCCAGACCAGCATGCAATGACCCTGAATTCCTCTTTCCCCTGACCCTTCCCTCTCACTTCCCCAGGTCTCCACCCCAGCTCTTCCTTCCCCAAATGCTTACTGCAGGATTCTCAGCTAAGCTCCCGAGACTGTTATGGTAAATGTTTCGGTGAGAGGGGGATTTAAGTCTTATCAAGTGGTGGTTTCAGAACCAAGAAGCAGTCTCAGGAAGGGGTCACTGTACCATGGAATCATGATGTGGACAGTGGCTTTCTTCTTTAAACTGTAGAAAATCAGCAACTTTCTTCTAAAGAAAACAATAGCTTATTTCTATAAAAGATAACTAGGCAAGAGAGACGAGCCTTTACTCAAACATTTGGTTAATGAATTCTTTCTAATATAAAATCAGTTTGAGAACACTACTTATGTAGTGCAAAATGAATGTTCTGCATTTCTGGCTTCTTTCATAAGAAAAACATCATTACCTTTTCTGATTGTGTTTTGAACAGTACACACGGATCCTTCAGGAAGCAACTTGTCCCTGTGGGGATTGGGAAAGGATCAGAGTTAAGTACTGAAACAAGCAATTAATTCCCATTAGAGGATTAAGGCACTCATGTTCACTTTGAATCAGAGAAGCAAGTTGAGAGTGAACTGTTGTACGAGCAAGAGGTTATTTGTCAAAATGAATAAATTAAAGACCCAAAGAGCAGCTAGACGCACAAAAGGGGCTGGGTAGACACATGACATTGGCCAGGGGATGGGTAAGGTTTTATGTCTATGGGAAGGACTGCCTTTCTCTTTGCAAACACTGAGGAAGCAGGGTCTATGCCATATGTTGCTGTCTTCATTCTAACAGATGTGTCCTATAGAAGTAAGCCCAATTCCCTCGTCTTACCACACATGTGCAGTCTAGACAGCCACACATGGCTGTTCAGCTTCAGTTTAGCTGGGAGCTCTAGAGCCTGTACTGAGTAGTTTTATGCAATGTCTCTGTGGATGATGTCACAGATACAGTAAAGACCAGGTGGTAAGCCTACAGTGTCAGGACTGAGGTGCCCCTGATTAGAATTGAAGAGCCCAAAGCAGAACCTTTGTCTCAAACTTCGTTACAACCTAGAATAATGTCTATCCAGAATTTAGCCCAAAGATAGAGTAGGCTCAGTGTCTCCAAATGCCTTAGCTCAGCAAAACCTGGCTAGTTAACAGTGTCAATATTTAAAAGCCAAAAACACCATAGTAATGTCCATCTGGCAGGGTACTGCCTGAAATGCTGTCACTCAGCAGTTTGCTTTTCTGTAGTACAATCCATCTAGTTTCATATTTCATCACTGAAGCAGAATTTAGTGATTCCAAGGCCTTTACATAATTGCTGGATGTGGTGATATATTGTGTACCCTAATAAAATTTGCCTGAAGATCAGAGAACAGAACACGCCACTGGATTAAACATAGAGGCCGGGCAGTGGTGGCACACACCTTTAATCCTAGCACTTGAGAGGCAGAGATCCATAGGGATCAAAGCCACCCTGGACTACATGAGATTGACTCAGTCTAGGAGAGAAACAGAGCCAGGCATTGGTGGCACACACCTTTAATCGCAGCACTTGAGATCTGCCTTTGCTTGGGAAGCACACATGCCTTTAATCCCAGGAAGTGGTGGCTGGGCAGAAAAAGGTATATAAGGTGTGAGAAGACAGGAACTAGAGGCTTTTCAGGCTGAGATATACATCAGATGTAACAGATGGCTTGTTCCTTTGTCCTCTGATCTTTCAGCATTTACACCAATATCTAGCTCTAGGTCTTTTATGATAAGACCTTTAGAAATTCATGTTACATCTGGCCCCCAATGTGGGTCATGAACCCACGACCCTGAGATTAAGAGTCTTATGCTCTACCTACTGAGCTAGATTTAAGACCGATTTAAGATTCGAGTAACAGCTGGATTGGTCTTGATTGGTATTTTTCACTAGCCACCTGGTGGCAGGAGTGTAAAAGGCAGGATTTTGACTTTATTAAGTTAGTCTAAATCACGACTAGCACACATGTTCAGTTCCTACTTCAGACACGCAGCAGGTGAGACCAAATAAGACAAGAGCTAAGGCTTAAAGTCTTCCAACATTAATTTGCTAAAGGATTTTAAATGAATGTCACCTTCTAGCATAAGAACAACCTTCTAATATGGTACTTCAATAAAATATCCATCCTGTTTGTATTTAGTGGCACAAAGAAGTGTTAGTAGATGCTGGATGTCATCACTTCAATTTTTTCACATGATAAATCAAGCCACGAGCAATCTGCCAGTTGTCAAGTGAAGACCTCGATAGAAACAAGTGGTCGGATGTGTCTACCACTCAGCACTGGCTGCAGGAGGAGTCATTCCAGAACCAGGAACTCTGGTGCTGCAGACCCCCACCAAAGCAATTATAAATGGAGTCTTCACTTGCTTTTATCATCCACCATCTGTGTCAATGTTGGCTACACCAAGTTCACAAAAGGCAAGCACATCGACCACAATGCCAACCACAGCCCCTGTCTTTACCACCTCCACTAAATATCACCCTTACCATCCAGTGGCCTGGAGCACACACAAATATACCCATAGTAACCCTATTTACCTTGGAGAAAAGGATGGGTACCTGATATAGTTACTCATTAATTATTAACAGGTCTCTTAGAACTGTAGGAAACAGGTGAAAAAACAAGATGCTGTGAAGTTTAAACCTGGCCCTGACCTGTGAGCAGGAGCAGGCACTAAGGTCCTGGGCATCTTGCCAGGGAGGGCTGGACACATCCTGCAGATGCTTTGATGCTTGCCTGGTTCTTTATAGTAAAGACAAGACCTACCTGCTGGAGCCAGCCTCACCAGCTTTACCACTACCCCTGAAAGGAGACAGTCAAACACTGTCCTCACATTAGTAGCACTGGCTGCCTTTGAAATCAGGGATGGCTTGCTGGTGTGTTCAAAGCTCCAGATTCTTGAGGTCTGGGAAAACAAACCTTTATGGCCCTGATGCCACAATGGCCTACACATATGTGGCCTTGGCCACCATTCTGTGAATTTTTAATGCTTTGGTCATGACAAAAATGTTTTTCATGCTGTGTTACTTTAAAGACTCAGCAAGTAAAGGTCAAGAAAGGTCCTTGACACCAAACCTAATGACCCGAGTTTGATGCCTGGGAACCATGTGGTGGAAGGGCAGAACCAAATCCTGACCTCTACATTCATGTTGTGGCACACATGCCTCTCCATATATATCTATGTAATTTTAAAAACTTAAGGCAGTTACATACCATCTTCAAAGTACAGTGACCAACAGTGCAGACATAGTCTTCTCTTCACTTTTGCCCACTCTGAGTATGAAAGTGACTGGAAAAATCCCCAAGCACTGGAAGGAAGCTTGTGCACACAGGCCAGGTAGATTGGGATGGTGACATGCTGGCCCTTGCTATTCCAGCAGATGGTTCAGCAGCCAGACTCCTGTCAACAGGCTGAGCAGGTAGCTCCAGATCTTGGAAGGCGCCAATAACCCACTGGCGCCACCTGCAGCTCAAGCTAAATCCAACAGGGTGTCCACTTTGAGACGGCTGATTTTGGCCAGATTCCAGGCTTAAATGCCTCAGTTCTTCTCTCAAGTTCATGCTCCAGGCTGCACAAAGTGTGGGCAACATAGTCTGTGTGTAAACCTACAGGCATCTCACTCGGTGCTAGTCTCTGCCATCATTGCTGGTCAACACCCAACCAGAGGCCAACAAAAGAGGGCCAAGTGCTCCAGATCCTAGGTGACTCAGGCCCGTTACCCAGGGAGGCATGTTCAGACAGCTGCAGGCCTGGAATGGGATCTGGAATTTGCAAGCTCCATCTCAGCAAGGTGGGGAGCAGCTCAGGGTAGGATACCACTCTCTGGAGGAGGGCACAGTGATACTTTCCAACTTGATCCAGGTGATTCCACAGTGGAAACCATTTTGTGTGCAAATTAATAAAGAGTTGATATCGAAAACACCAGTGAGTCAGGCATAGTGGTACACACCTATAATTCTAGAATTCTGATTCATGAAGAAAGATGGCAAATTCAAGGCCATCATGAACTACAACAGCCCTATTTCAAAAATAAAAACTAATGAGCACACACAAAAAAGGGAGGCAGCTTGCAAGCCACTGAGCCTCCTGTCTTTGCAAAAGTTATCAGGGAATTCAACATGCCTCCTAATCAGAAACAGGTTCCTCATCTTCAGAGTTTCCACAAGCAGCCAGTTCCTGCAGTCTTTCTGAAATGGACTTACGCTACCCTGTTAAACTCAGTCACTTTCTGGAACCTGACTCACAATGAAACAGAGTAAGACATGTTCCTCTGCATATGCTATTCAGGTTCAAGGAAAGGAGGCCGAGTCTGGGTCAGCAGGCAGAGGAGGTACGGAATGCAGGTTGCGTGGGGTGCCCCATGCCCAGACACTGGCACATACAGCCATAACTTTTTTCACCCACCTAGGACTCCAACCATGCTAACTGCTGACTAAGCAATGACTGCCCAAACTTGGCTAAGAAACACAGCAAATGATCTGGCTTTTGTTGTATTTCCCAGGCTACTGGAGGGGAGCATGCTTTCATACTTGGCAACTGCTCACAATGTGTTTACTCGGACTGGAACAAGCACTCTAGTCAAGAAGGGAAGAGCTAACAATCCAGGTCTTGTCCTAGCTCACCCTTTGTTAGTGGGAGATGCAGAGGCAGGGAAATGGAGCATCTAGGTCTGGCTGAAGGCGGGTCATTTCCAGTGTGCCTCTGCCCCAAGGGCTTTGCTGTTTAACTTTGAGTCACCTTGGGCAGAAGAGCAGTCCTTGCCTGAAGACTGCTCTCCCTTTCCTTCATTCGTCTACAGCATGACTCCTTTGCATCTTGGAACTTTTTGTTAGAAGTACTCCAACTGTTTGAAACAGGAATGTTTACACTATAACACTTTTATTTTTCAAGGACAATTCAAGCTATAGTAACACTGTGTGTGTGTGTGTGTGTGTGTGTGTGTGTGTGTGTGTGTGTGTGTGTGTGTGTGTTCTGGGTATCAAACTGAAAACTTCAATGGTAGGCATGTGCCCTACAGGTGAATTGTATTTCCAGCTCAATTTAACATAAACTTTGCATTCCCAACATAAAAAGTAAGTCAGAAGAAGCCTGGGAGAGCAATTTAAAATAATGCACAAACTCATTCTCTACACCTCTAGGTAGTTTGCTACCAAAATACCTGAGAAAGATAAGAATTTAACCCCTTTAAACAACCCTTCTACTTAGAAGTGTGACCTACTCAAAGTGAAGAAATTAAAAACACAAGTGAGGTTCCTAGGTAGGTTGCCAAATGTATTCTATTTAGAAGCTTACCCATCAATTTCTTTAGGACAGAGAGCCAAATCACATCATAAGTTCAAGCTCAAGGCCAAGGTCTGGTTACTGGGAGTAGGGGTGGGAGTGGTCCATGGCCAAAGAAAAGCAAGGCTCAATGGGAGGGGACATGGGAGCTACAGTAGCTAGCTAGGTTCAGTGTAGGAC